GAATAATTTGGTGTCGAATAAATCTGTGTCGAATCGAGCGGTGTCGAATCGTACTGTGGTCAATAGAGTATCACCCCCCTCTAGGGGGCCCATTTTGGAAGCAATGAGCGGAGGAGTCGGTGGTGAGGGCTTTCCTTCTCTTCCGGCGGATGGGGACTCGGAGAGAGTGGCCTCTCTTGAATCGGAGCTGGCTGGTCTTTGCGAGAAGGTCAGTCAGCTCGAGTTGGATCTCTATGAGACCTATCGAGAAAAAGAGGCGGAGCGCTATGCACTTAAAGAGGAGAGGATAGCGGACCTCCTCAGGAAAGCCCTGACGAACTACCTCACCGATTGGGGAATCCCAATCCCGAGGTCGCCCAAATCTTTGCCCGAGGTTCTTCCTCGTCCACCCTCTGTTGGTAGACCGGAAGAGACAATGGGCACGGGAGTGCAGGACAAGTCGGGGGCTGCATCCGCAGCTCGCCCCGAAACCGCGTCTGTGTCTGTGCAGACGGACTTGGACGTGAAGAGGGCGGGAGAGGGGATAAAGGCCTCCCTCATGAGTAGGAGGCTCTTTTGCAGACCCGACTGGCAGCTTTTTGGGACAGTGTCTCCTGAAGCCTCCCAGCCGGGCACCGCGGTGATGTGGGCGCAGTTTCCGGGAATAGAACCTGGTGTGTCTCTTCGGAACGTGAGCAAGCTCTGAGTACATCTGCGGATGTATCCTCAGCAAGATTGCTCTAAGGAGTGGGCAATGGTTTCGGGTCGACGTACACGTCGGGCACGTGCTGCTGGTGTCGCTGTTCCAATCCCCGCTCTTCTGTCTCGTCCTGGGCGGGAAGACAGGAAAGCGAGGCAGGAAGGACGAGGGTGATAGGCTGCGTCCCCTACTCCCAACAGCCCCTCGAACAAGGGAAAAGAAGAAAGTGGGAGTGTTGGAGATGGGGCGCGTTCCGTCGCATACGGCGGTCGCGCTTACCATTTCCGAAAGTAGCATCTCCTCTGTCGCGGAGATCCTGCGGGAGGCAGTGCACCTAAAGGTAGACGGTGCGGAGGTTTCGGGGGTTCGCCCCCGACCATCTGCGTTTGGAGGAGTTATCGTCGAGGTCTCCGGGAAGGGGGACGGTCGTAGCGGATCGGCTTGTTGACCGTCTCTCCGCTCACTTCGGGGAGGGTACGAGTGGCCAGGCTCAGGAAGTTTGGAGACCTTCGAATTAAAGGTCTGGTCACCTCGATTTTCAGGGAGAATGTTACGTCCTCTCTGGCGGTGTGTGGGGAATGCCGGCAGGAGGACGTTCGTGTTGGCACTTTTTGGTTTGCTCCTGCCGGCATTGGTATGGCGTGAGCGCCAGTGACAGCCGCGCGCCGAGTGATCCGTGAAGGTGCGTTGCGCATCGGATGAATCTCGTTTCCAGTGGAAGCGCTGGAAACCCGTTCGATGCAGTACTTCCGCTGTCTGGAGTTCGGACACTTCAGGCAGCGGTGCACGGGAGAAGCCAAGCCCCCGTGCTGCTACAGGTGCGGCAGTTTGTTGCATCTGGCACGAGGGTATACGGCGCCGCTCCGCTGTCCGCTCTGTGCAGCCAGTAGAAAGCCCGATAGGCACAGGATAGAAGGAAGGGCTTGCCCTCGCTCATCATTGGCAAAGAGTTGTGGAAGGCAAGGGGTGGGAAAACCTCCTCTTGTCTTTATTGCAACAAATGGCTCTCCGTATCGGGAGTTAATTCCTCCCGGTGGGACGGATTCAGCGGAACTGTCTGTCTCCGTAGCAGCGGAGCCTATAGACGCGGTGCAAGATCCCCTTCCTAAGAGGAATGGTGTTGACAGGAATCTGCCCGTGTCCGATCCCAGCGAGGATGGTGCTCCTCCTGCCGCCAAGAGGCGCGGAGAAGGAAGTAAAAGTAAGCTGGGATCTCGGTCTTCAAAACTGAAAAGTGGTGAGGATTAGGGCCCTCAACGAGTAGGATCCGGCACGGTAGCGGTCACGCCACTTTTGCCGGACGTCACCTCTACCGAGGGTGCTCTCACTTAGTTGGATCCCCCAACGGTGGTCCGGACCTGGACAGGTAGTCCAGGGCCCGGCTCCCTTTTCCCGCTTTTTGCGCGGGAGAGGATCCCTTCCCTTCTTGTTATGCACTCTCCTACTGCCGGAAGGGTTTGTTTCTCGCTTTCTCTTCTCTGCGGTGGGAGAGTCTTTTCTTGCGGGAAGCAGCGGTAGTGGCGTAAAAGCAAGTAAGGGTAAGAGGTGGCCTGTTTCTCTCTCTTTTTGTTTTCTTCTCTCAGTAATCGCCCGCCGCTGCCGGTGGTTGCGGCGGATTAGGGTAGGGGCCCTGATTTGCTCGCGCTTACCTCACAGCAAAAGTGGCGGAGTGTTGGTGGACCACACTCTGCCACTATTAACATAGACTTGAGGAGGAGATGTCATTGCAGGGGGGAGATCCTAGTATAGTTCTACCCTGAGATTCCAGGTTCTCTCGGCCATCCCGCAGCGTAAGCCCACCGTAGTGTTTTAATAGATATACCTCCTTTCACTTGCAGATAAAAGACGGGAGTCCTACATAACCCTGGTTCTCCCCCAGGATCAGGGTATCTATAAAGGATTTGCCCACGTGCAAAAAAAGGTTAGGTTGTAATCAAGAATAAGAACAGATTTGGTCGAAAACTTACCCTTTTT